AGAAAGGAAGGAAGGAAGGAAGAAAGGAAGGAAGGAAGGAAGGAAGGAAGGAAGGAAGGAAGGAAGGAAGGAAGGAAGGAAGGAAGGAAAAGAAAAAGAAGGAAGGAAGGGAGGGAGGAAGGAAAGAAAGAAAGAAAAAGAAAAAAGAAGGAAGAAAAGAGGAAATGAGTGTAGATCCAACTCTTTAACTTCTTCAGGGTTAGGTGCTCAACTCTCAGACAAAACCCATAAATGGCTTTTGATATCCTCCAGATGTGTTCAGGGAGTTTCTCTGCTAGCACATCTGGAGGGTACCAAAGATGACAAAGCCGTCCTACAAAGGTGGAACTGAACAGCTACACATGAGGGATGGTTGCAGGAACTGGGTATGGCTGGTCTAATGAAGAGAAGGACTAGGGATAGCAGTCGTCCAATCTTTGAGAGGCTGTCACAAAGAAGAGGGGGACAAGCTATTCTTGAAAGCATCTGAGGCCAAGACGTGGAGTAATAGATGGATATTTATGAAGGAGAATTGATCAAACCTGGAACAAAGAAGAAATTCCCTGATAGTGAAAACATTTAATCCATGGAACAGCTTGCCTCCAGAAATTGTGGGTGCTTCATCACTGGAGGTTTTCAAGAGATTGGACAGCCACTTATCTGGAATGGATAACATCTCCTCCTTGAGCAGGGGGTCAGACTAGAAGACCTCCAAGGTCCCTTCCAACTCTATTATTCTGTATTCCGTTCTGAACAAGCCAGTTTTAGCTCCTCTTCCTTGAATCTCCGGGTGAAAGCATCTCCTTTGCCTTTGGCTGATCACCTGTTCTTGCCTTTCCTTCAGGATGACATCTACTCCACCACCGGCAGCGCCATGATCCCGGTTAAGTGGACGGCACCGGAAGCTGCCATTTACCAGACGTACTCCCCCAAATCGGACGCTTGGTCCTACGGAATCCTACTCTATGAGGTTTTTAGCTACGGACAGTGCCCCTATGATGGTACGATTTCATTTCAGTGGATGCCCTACGGAGAGGATCATGACAAGGGAAAGCTCTTGGGAGGGAAGAAGGAGTCTCTCTCTCTCTCTCTCTCTTTTGTTCTGTCCTTGGTTTCCCCAAAAAGCATTAAGCAAACTCTGAGTCCCGGCAAAACCTTTTTGTTATTAAATGAATGTGAATGTATTGCCTTCCCATTCAGCCAACGGCTTGGTAAACAGTCTTGCAAAGGTATAATTATTAGCTCAGATCGTATCTATCTTGGAAAGTCGCCTGGTAAATATTTCCACATGTAAATATTTCCACATGGGCTGGGCGCAGAATCTCTAGGCTACACAGACAAATCTTCACGAGGCTGGAACGAACAAATTGTTTCCTCCTCTTTTGCTCTTCTTTTAATCCTGATGGCCGTTCATCTTCCACCTGTGGCCTTGCTCCCATGTCGACCCCGAGTACTTAATTGTTCTTTCCTTTTTGGGAACCTGTTCCAGAAGCTCCCCCGCCTCACTGCTGTCCGAGCCTGAAAGCAGCTGATGACTGCCAGCCTACCCTGGCCCCATCTCTGCCTCTGATGCAGAGCCCTCGTCTGAGCCTTCCTCAGCCTCCAGGACTGGCCTGGGTTCCTCCCCCACCTCCTTGCTGTCTGACTCTGCTGCCAGCTCCGTCAGTCACCGGCGGGCCACAACATCTCTCTCTCTCTCTCTCTATCACACACACACACACATTGTAATGTGCCCAATCATACTGGAGATATGTTACTTCTCCACCCCAACTCCATCTCCTGGGCCAGGCCTGACCATCCTTTCTTTTCTTAGAATGTCCAAGCAGATACTTCCAATTTCAGAATCTCTAACAAGGAGGGTTTGGGGTAAAGTCAACACTCCAGCTAGAAGTTGGAGAAACTGGAGCCTTACAGTCCCTTTTGAGAGGTTTGGGGTGTGGAAAATCATCCAGAACGGTTTGGTCACCCTGACATTGGCAAGGAACCCCATCTCGGTGTAAGGAGAGTCCTCCCTTACCTGTCCCACCTCGCTGTCCCTTGTGAACCTGACCGTTTCTCTCCTCTGTCTTCTTCTAGGGATGACCAATCAGGAGACCATCCAGCAGATCACTCGGGGCTACCGTCTTCCTCGCCCCAACAGTTGCTCCCCTGAGGTCTATAGCATCATGCTGGAATGCTGGAAGGCCCATCCCGAAGATCGGCCAACTTTTCTCAACTTGAGGGATGCACTCTTTTCGATTTACAAATGGGCACGTCACTCCTTCTCCTGAAAGTGGGGCTGGGGGAGGCACCTCCCACGCCTTCTGCAACAACCATCAGCCCTTTGGTAGAAGTCTTGCAGGCCTTCCAGGTTCTCCGAGTCTCTTGAGCCTGCAGGAACATTTGTGCCTTTGAAGGTGGACCTACGTGAGCTCTTCAACCTCAGCAGGTGGAGTTATGGGTTCTACTGGTCCAAAAAATAGTTCGCGGTAAGAGATACCGTACAGCCAAGAGCTCCTCGTGGACAGAAACAGAAATGCGGCATTTCCTTCCCTGTGCAAGTTATGGAGTCTTCTTGCTGTAGGCCCCAAATGGCTTCCTTTTAGTCAATAAACGTGTACAAATGTAGCCACCTGATTTCTTACATTCTGGGTGTTCCTGGTGCATCGATTGGGAGCAATTTGTTCTGTCAAAAATGGCCTGAAGAAAAACGGAACCCCACCCCATGAGACAAAAAAAGAAAGAAGTCCGTGTGGAAAGAGAGAGACGTAGCTTTATTGTGTTTGTCTCTGTGGGTGAGGATGGAAGGGGACAAACTCGCCACAGGCCAATTTGCAGCGGCCGACTCGCCACGGACAACTCGCTGTGGGACAATTGAGCAGTTCCATTTCATTATTTTAAAATCATTTAAAAATATTTTGAATTTAGGTCATTCACAATTCATTCTGTTCTCTCCTTTTGCTCTCCTTCCTTCAAAGATTCTGCAGGTAGTCCTCAACATATGACCACAATAGAGCCCAACATTTCTGTGGTTAAGTGAGAATTTGTTATGTGAGTTTTGTCCCATTTTACCACCTTTCTTGCCACAATTGTTAAGTAAACTACTTATTAAGTTAGTAATCTGGTTGTTAAGTGAATCTGGCTTCTCCGTTGACTTTGCTTGTCCGAAGGTTGCAAAAAAAGGGATCATGTGACTCTGGGGTGCTGCAACGGTCATAAGTACGAGCCAGTTGCCATGTCAGGTTTCCAAGTGATGAAATCCATTTAAAAAGAAAAGAGCAAAGTCCATCTTCCAAGACAATTTCTTTTATTTAGGAAAGCATCAAATTGGCAAAGTCCGTGGTAATTCTGGATCTGACACAACCCGGAATTACCCCACAATATTAAAAGTTAGAAACAACCCCCAAAAGTCACATTCTCCAATAGAAGTAATTCAACGTTGCTTGATGTTATAAATCTCCACCTCAAGGGGCCTAATTACCAACAGCTCGGTTTCCCACGGGAAGAAGAACTACCTAGCCAAAACAACTCTCCCTATCTCCACTCCTCTCCCCTTAGGAATGTGGCAAGCCCGAAACCCTTCCCCCCTCCCCATGACTGCCACAGAGAAAGTAAGAAAAAGAATATATACTAAGCCTAACTAAAATGGCTACATAGGTCAATTTCGGGCTTGACATGCCAAGCGTCTGAATTGTGACCACGTGACTATGGGGATACTACAAAGGTCATAACTGTGAAAAACAGTCATAAGTTACTTTTTTCAGTGCCATGGTAACTTTGAACAGTCACTAAATGAACTGTTGTAAGTCGAGGACTACCTGTATTCCACTATTTCTTTGATATTAGTGTAATTCTTATACTGCAGCGAGTTGTCCTGCAGTCAGCTGGGTGCAGCAAATTGTCATAGAGCCCACCTGTATGAGGGGAAGAGAAGGAGGGAGGGAGGGAGGGAGAGGGAGGGACAGACCCTATTCTACTTTCTCTCCCCTTCCTTTTTTTCCCTACCCCTTTCCAATACATTTTGGCTAAAAGGACAGGTACTCCTCGATTTTACGACTGTAATGGAACCTGTCGTAATAGTCGTTTCATGATGTGTTCTGCGGTGGGCGTTGAGCAAACTGATGCTTCATTATGGGTGCTGTCTTGCTGGAAAACCAGAAGCACGTGCCAGTTTTCGGCAAAACTGTCATAAACCCGGGCCATGCGAGCGTGGGGTGCTGCAAATGGCAGCCAATGTTGATCGTGTTGCCATGTGCCCAAAAGTGCACCCACATGACGTGTGTGTGTGTGTGGGTGTGTGTGACTGTTGGAACTTTGGACCTGAGTCGTAAGTCCCCTTTTTCAGGTAGGTTGTAACTTTGAACAGTCACTAACCAACCGGTCATAAGTTGAGGACAACCTCGAATGAGCTTTGACCCATGAATTTTAGGTTACATTCAATTAATTTCCTTCCTGCTGTTCCCTCTCTCCCTCCTTCCTCCCTCTTTCCCTTCCTTCTCCTCCCTCCCTCCCTCCCTCTGTCCCTCCATCCTCCCTTTGTTCCTTCCTTCTCCCTCCCTTCTTTTCTCTCCTTCCTTCCTTTCTTCCTTCCTTCCTTCCTTCCTTCCCCTCTCTCCTTCTTCTCCCACCTCCTCCTCTCCTTCCTCTCCCCTTACTTTCCTTTCCCCCTCCTCTTCTCTTCCTCCCTCCCTCCTTTCCTTAATTTGTATGCTACCTACAAAGTAGACTAGTCTAATAGCTCAAAGAAGCAAAGCAACGTGTCTTACCATTGCTTTCCTTACTGAAGTCTCTGTGGAGTCAAGCACCGTTTCTCTAAACTTTGTGGCCAGGTCTACATCCCTTTCTTGTAATAGAACAGAAGTGATTTCGCACTGTATTTTTGTGAGATTTTAGTTCGCAGCCTGCAGATCTGAAGTGACTTTTCATCCAAGCAATATTAAGATCAGGTCTTCCTTTTTTTTTTTTTTCAGAGCAGCCAAAATGTTTTCAAATTTTAATGATCTCCTAATAACATTTGTTCAAGGTTATATTCCATGTTTAACAGCTCTTATCCTGCTTCAAAGGATCCCTGTGAATATTGATAATATTGAATGTGATAACAGATAACGATAAGGAGATCAAGCTAATTTTTTGCTATTATAACCTCTTGGACTAAAGCAGAACATAAATCATAAATGACAAACTTCAGACAATTAACCCAAACAACTGAGAGAAAGAAAGACGGTATTAAAGCTTATTTCTCCATAGAATATTATTAACCTGTCCTGAATTTGCATCAACGGAAAAGCAGAATCTTTGGGAAAGTCACAGCTTTCTACCATAGAGTTTTTGCTGTTCCTAGAGAAAAACGAACACATTTTAAATGTTCCCTCTTCAATCAGCTCGTTCTCAACCCAACTTTCTGAATTCAGCGCTTTGCACATATGTCGGGACTACATTTCCCAAAATTCCCTAGCCAAAAGTAAACTGCTCGGATTCCTGGGAGTTGCAGTTCCGATATATCAGGAAGATACCAAGTGCGAAAAGCTGTGGGAGATATCAAGTTATACATTATTAGAGAGTGCCTTTATTTATTAAAAATAAATAAATGCGACAACAATGAAAGATCCTTTGTACCTGCACTGAATCGTATTCTCCGGATTGGTTGAAATTCGGCAAATTATTGGCGAAAGTGTGAGGAAAAACTAACTCCGGATCCCCAGTCGCGCTCGAGTTACGAGCGCCCGCATGCAGTCGGGGCGGAACCTACAGCGGACCCGAGAAGCCTCATTTCCCTTCGGCCGCACCCATGATGCATTGCGCAGCAAGAAGACGCAATTTTGCCGTTGTTTCTGCAATTTGTAAAAAAATATTTTCTATTTCAGCTTCGCCTTTGTTCATTTTCGTAATGATACACATGCTCCCAATGTAACTTATTTGCCCATCGGGAGGGTCACCATGATGTAATGAATAGGCATCGTTGCAGGGATCGCTCTCTCGAAACACGATTGAGTATACTCTGGTTTCTCTTCAGATCGTATAAATCTTTCGCCTTTTACTAAAGATTTCCGTGGAGAGGAACATTTATGAGTTTTGTATTAATTTTTTGAGGCCCTGCTTCGGCTGGGCTACCTTTATCTGGTTCTAAAAATAGAGAATTTAAGTCTGTGGTGTGTAACTGTTTGGGTTGTTAATCTAGAGTTGAGGGAGAGTGTAGCGTGTTGTTTGAATGCAGGACGGGTTTTCCACGGAGGAGAGTTATTGTCATAGCTTTCTTAAATAGCGTGCAATAATGCAGGTTTAAAACTTGTGCACTTCAACTCCCAGAATTATTCCTCCGGTCATGTTAGCTCAGGAATGCTGGGAGTTGAAGTCCACAAGTTTTAAAGCCGCCAAGATTGAAGACCCTTGTTCTGTCTATCACAAGAGAATGGGTTAAGTGAGCCTATCCTAGTGACGCTTATGTGGGACCTAGAGTTGTGTAAGCCAGGGGTCTCCAACCTTAGCAACTTTAAGACTTGTGGACTTCAACTCCCAGAATTCCTCAGCCAGCTTTTGGCTGGGGAATTCTGGGAGTTGAAGTCCTCCAGGCTTAAAGTTGTCAGGGTTGGAGACCCCTGGTGTAAGCCTTGGAGGACGCTAGTGATTCCCCACCTTTGCTGCCCAAGATGTGTCAGGCTGTGGTTGAGGAGGGACACAACTCTGAAGCATTTTTATCTAAAAAAAGTATGTGGGTTCAGGTAGGAATGACTAAAGCAGAGGGGTCTTTAAACTTGACAGCTTTAAGATTTGTGGACTTCAACTCCCAGAATTCCTCCTCCAGTCATGTTAGCTCAGGGATTCTGGGAGTTGAAGTCCACAAGTCTTAAACTTGCCAAGTTTGAAGAGCCCTGCAACAACGCTTCGATGTGCGTTTCTCCTGTGTTACGGCAGCGCTGCAGTGACTTTTCTTTGCTGTGTGTAGTATGGATGGCAGGACAAGATGTTAGTTAGACCCAGAATTCCTCTCCAGAGTAGGCCTATGTTGCAAGGATGCCAGACCACCACCTCAGAGGTGGTACATTCAGCAGGTTACGGCAAATACCACCTCCGACTGGAGATTTTACAGTATCCTTCCCCTGCCACGCCACGCAAGCCACGCCCACAGAACTGGTTAGTAAAATAGCCTTCTGGGTTCAGTTCCAAGTGGGGAAGAAAAAGACTGGAAACATGGTGACTGTTTGGAAAGAATGGTTTAATGGTGGACAGGCTCACATGCCCTGGATGAAGAAAGAAGGAAAAGGGCTGAGATGCTGAGAGACCCTTAGTTTTATAACTTCTGTTGGGCCTCCATCTTCGTGTTTCCTGTTCCTGTGTAAGAAATGTATCCCATTGGCTGTCAGACTCCCAGGGGCGGGAGGTTTTAGCTAACTTTGTAGACTTTGGACCACATGGCTTCACCTAAGTGTTGGCTGATACAATCTTCCCAGGCCAGGTGGTGAGGGGTAGAGGCCTTTATTATGTAGAATACTCTGGCCTTGTCCTTAATGGCCCATTAGCAAAGGGGGGGGAGGGGGGGCTGAGTTTCTGCCTCTCTGAATTTCTACTTTATTTGGGAGAAATATTCTGCCCTTTTAATATTTCCTAGGATATTTCATTTTTCTAGGAGAGGGGTGGGTTTTAACTTCCAACAGAATATAACTATAATTCATATGATTAAATTATTTTATAATTAACAAGACATTTCTTGACAGAACAATTAGTGGTAGTTTGCCTTTGGATGTTATGGGTTCTCCAATACCAGAAATATTTTTGCACAACCGTTTATCTGAAATGGTATAGGGCAGTGGTGGCTAACCTTTTTGGGCTCCTGTGCCAAAAATTGCACGCTTGCGCATGCGTGCTCACATGCCAGCACCCAGAAGGCAACCTGCGTGGTGTCCTCCACGCACCCTGCGCATGTGCGCGCACTCCCCCCCCCCCGCCGCCCCCTTACCTGCACTGCGTCTCACAGCTGATTTTTTTTGGCTGGTTTGAGGCCTTTTTCGGCCTCCCAGAGGCTTGAAAAAAGCCTCTGCAGGCTTTGCAGACTGAATAATAGGCCCGTTTTGTCATTTCCTGTAATACCGGAAGTGACGAAACGGGCCTATTATTCATCCTGCAAAGTCTGCAGAAGTTTTTTTTCAAACCTCTGGGAGGCCGAAAAAGGCCTCAAACCAGCTGAAAGATCAGCTGTGAGGCACGCGGATGCGCGGTGCCATAGGTTCGCCATCACGGGTATAGGGTTTCCTGCTTGAGCAGGGGGTTGGACTAGAAGACCTCCAAGGGCCCTTCTAACTCTATTCTGTATTACTCTGTATATAACCCACTCATAAATTCCTTACCCCCCACCACACACTAGCAAAAACCTTTTGTATTTTTGAAAAGGAAAATTTAAAAAAGGAAGGCCATTGTACAAGTCAGAACGGGCTGGGCTGAAATGTATCACGAAGGTTCATTTAGCAATAGAAGGCAGAAAGGGATTTTCCCCTGTTCCTTCTTTCCCTCCCTCTCTGCTTTTCCAGTTTGTACACCTGGTTGCTGGTACGGCTTACCTGCTCTGGGGAACGCCTCCGTGGGTTTACGAGAAATCCCTTTGCTGCATTCCAGAAGGAGTGCAAACCTATGTTAGCGTGAACGGGACTTGCAGCTGGGGAAGACAGAGAAAGGCAGACTAACTAGTTGATTCGTTCCCTGTTTTCAATCCTGCGCTCGACCATGGCCTGCAAAACAGATCCGGTGCCCGGAGCCAATTGTTCTCTTTACACCAGCTTGTGGGATTTTCAAGCCCGAACCAAAACGGAGTTGACTTTCCAAGCAGGGGACTTGTTTGAGGTGATTCAGAAGACCGGGGAATGGTGCTGGGCCAAGCAGGTGGATGCTCAGGGAGGAAGAAGCGAGGAAGGCTACGTTCCCTACAGCTATCTCGCCAAGAAAGAGACGGTAGAGACGGAGCCGTAAGTACTAGCAGGTTACAACTCAAATCTTCAGTAGGTTTTGGTGGCAAAGTTTAAGGAACCCTGTTGGCGCAGTGGTTAGAATATAGTATTGCAGGCAAACTCTGCACACTGCCAGCAGTTTGATCCTGACCGGCTCAAGGTTGACTCAGCCTTCCATCCTTCTGAGGTCAGTAAAATGAGGATCCAGATTGTTTGGGGGGCAACACGCTGACTCTGTAAACCGTTTAGAGAGGGCTGTAAAAACACTGTGAAGTGGTATATAAGACTAAGTATTTTATCCTCCCCTACCCCTACCCCTACCCCTACCCCTATTCTATTCTATTCTATTCTATTCTATTCTATTCTATTCTATTCTATTCTATTGCATGCCATTGCCATGGCGGCACAGTGATTAGATTGCAGTATTGCAGGCCAACTCTGCCCACTGCCAGCAGTTCAATCCTGACGAGATCAAGGTTGACTCAGCCTTCCATCCTTCCGAGATCATTGAAATGAGGACGCAGATTGTTGGGGTCAATACGTTGACATAAATTCCCCAGAGGATGCTATAAAGTACCGTGAGATGGTATATAAGTCTACTCTAAGTGCTATTGGTATTGGGGCCTTGATGCAGTTTTGTGCAAATAAACATTGGCTGAAAGGAGAACTTGAAATCCAGATGTTTTTTTCAGACTGTTTGAATCGTAACTGGCAGGGAAATGGGGCACCCAGAGAGACTACAGCAGTCTTAACTACTTTTAAATGGGGTGGGGGAGGAATTCTGGGAGTTGAAGTCCACACATCATTGAAAGGGAATAAGGGCATCCAGAGAGGCTAGAGCAGTGTTTATCAATCTTACAACTTCAAGATGTCTGGACTTCAACTCCCAGAATTCCCCAGCCACCATGGCTGACTGGGGAATGCTGGGAGTTGAAGTCCACACATCATTGACAGGCAGGGAGGTAGCCAAAGAGGCTGGAGCAGAGCTTCTCAACTTTAGCACCTTTAAAGTATCCGGCTGCTGGCTGGGGAATGCTGGGAGTTGAAGTCCACACATCACTGACAGGCAGGGAGCTTCTCAACTTTAGCACCTTTAAAGTATCCGGCTGCTGGCTGGGGAATTCTGGGAGTTGAAGTCCAGGCATCTCAAAGCAGCCAAGGTTGAGAAGCACTAGATTAGATCATCAAAATTTCACACACTCCTCATCATCGTGTGAATCTTCTTTCAGCTCCTGAGGTTAACCAACATCTTTCCCTGGACATTTTTTTTCACGGAAAGGACAATGGTTCCAATTCAGCTTGTTTTCCAAGAAGCATTCTCCAAACACACCAGTTCTCCCAGTTTCCCCTCCCAACCTCCCAACTAGCCCGCTAGGAAATCCATCCCACGCTTCACATCACTGCCGCACATAGAAACCAGGCTGCAGACAGCTCAAGTCAGCCAGCCAAGCTGTATAGAGGTGGAAACTGCAGGCGCAGCAACGATGTCATAGAAAGCGGAGAGGAGCAGGAATACATGGCTCTCCAGTCCATCATCCCCTGCTCATCCCTCCCTCCCCCCCTTGTGAAAAAGATTGTTAGAATAGATGGATGAGAATCTGATACAATTCACTATTTCTTCTTCTTTTTCCCCCTCCGCCGTCCCCGTACAGGTGGTTCTTTGGGCAAATCTCTCGCTCAGAAGCGGTGCTTCGGCTGATGTCGGAAAAAAACAAATCCGGTGCTTTCCTGGTTCGGATCAGTGAGAAAATTGGAGCGGATTTCGTACTTTCAGGTAAGACTTTGTGCTGGGGAAAAAAACATACCGGATTCTTGTGTTCTGAATTCCTCACAGGTAAATCCTCCACTTTACCTGTTTGTTTAGTGCAGGGGTGTCAAACTCAATTTCATTGAGGGTTGCAGCAGGGTTGTGCTTGACCTTGGAGGGCCAGGGGATGGGTGTGGCCATAGCGGGCGTGGCCATGACAGGTGTGGTCGGAATGGGCGTGGCCATGGTAGGTGGGACTCATGTCAGGGGGCACCTGTGGAGTCCAAGTGCTAACCCTCCCCCATTCTCATTCTCATCTCCTTCCTTCCTTCTTTTACCTTCTCTTCTTCCTTCTCCTCTTTCGTTCTTTCTCCTTCCCTGCTCTCTTCCCGTGTTCCCTTCTTTTTCTTTCCTCTTTCCCTTTCTCCTGTCCCTTCTTGCATGCTCAAATGCAAAAGGGGAAACGTTTCTCCTTTTGTTTTGTTTCTAATTTGTTTTGACAGCCTTCTCTGCAAGGGTGGGATCCAGCCGGTTCAGGCCAGTTCTAGCAAACTGGATGTTAAATTTACATCTGGTTCGCTGAACCGATAGTTGAACTGACCGGCTGGCCCAGCCTACCCTGAACCTCCCCTCCCAGGAATCTCCACCCAGCCCGTTTTGGATGGAGATAAGTGCAGGATCCATGTGGAGGCTCTGGGAAGATGAAAATGCGGCCCTCCCAGAAGTTTCAGAAGTCCCGAAACAGGCTTGTTTCCGGCTTCCGGGGGGGCCTCTGGAGCCCAGGAGAGGCCATTTTCTTCCTCCCAGGTGTCCAAGGGAAAAGTCTCTGGATGCTGAGGAAGGCAAAAAATGGCCACGTCCACCATAGCCACACCCACTCAACGACCAGGGAGAGAAATGGTGGTTGAGATTTTTGAATCCCACCCCTGGCCCCCTGCCAGCAAAAATGGAGCCGGGGGGGGGGGTGTTTTCACTGGCAGAGGCACCACGGGCCGGTCTGTTTCCAGGCGGGCCCCGTGGGCCAGATCTAAGCACCCAACGTGCCCTGAGTATGACACCCTTGGTTTAGTGACCATCCTAAGTTACAACAGCACTGGAAAAAAAAATGACAACCAGCCCTCTCATTTACATGTGTGACCTTCCCAGCTGGCTGTCATGCCCCTGTCGGAGTCTGAATCCGAGGAGGAAGACGAACAGCTGACAGGAAGTGGGAGGGTGGCTCTGTTAGCTGTGGAGGAAACTGGGGAAGGGCAAAGTCTGGCTGGGCAGAGCAGGAGAGAGGTAGAACAAGGGAGAGGGAGTTCAGAGGAAAAACCAGGCCCACCACCCCTCTTCATCCAAGGGCACACAGGGAGGAACAGAAAAGAGAGCAACGTGGGTTGCATGGCTTATGGGGGACGAGTGGGTCCTGATTCCCTTCATTAGGCACACCTGGGACGAGAGTTTAAAAGAGATGCAAACTGAGTGCGGCAGCAAATGTGAATTTATCTTGTGTTGACTTTGATTTTGCCTTGATTGGACTTATAAAGTTACAGTTTCTGTTGACTACATTTTGGACTTGATTCTCTGCAGCCAAAGGCTGTTCCTGGTAGAGTTTTTCTCCAGCCCAGAAGGTAACCAGGACATTGGGGGACTCCTACTGATTATCTGACTGTGTTGCCTTTGTGCTACGCCCCTTTGGGTCATCACACTGGCTTCCGCAAGCGAAGTCGGAATGGGGGGAATCCAGATTTGCTTAATGGCCGCGTGATTCACTTAACAACTGCACTGATTCACATAGGAATGCGGCAAAAAAGGTTGTAAAATCAGTCATGAGTCACGTAATTGTGGTCATAAGTTGAGGAGCGGCCGTAATGACTAGGAGATTTTTGGCCTCTCGGAATAGCTTAGAATAGAAATGGGAGATCTGACTCACCCTCTAAAACGACTCTTAAGAAGACAGAGGAAATTAGAAGGAAGGATTTAAAAAAGGGCTATCTCTGGGCCAGAATTTGCAAAACTTTTAAGTGGGGCTGCAGGATTAAAAGAGTCAAGATAATGACCTCAACTATGTTAATTGAGCCCACTCCTCTTTTTAATGTGCATTGTACACTGGTAAGTGTAAAAAGAGGGCAGGGCATGGTCTGTGGCATGGTCAGAGTTGAATTAAGGCAGCTTTAGGATGTGTGGACTTCAGTTCCCAGAATTCTTGGTGTTCCCTCATCTTAAAGTTGCTGAAGTGGACAAACACGGATCTAAAGACTTCATTAAAATAGATGCCAAATATTTCCTTGCTCCTTCTTCCTTCCTTCCTTCCTTCCTCCCTCCCATCTTTTCCTTCCTCCCTCCCTGCATCCCTTCCTTCCTTCCTTATTTCCTTCCTTCCTTTCCCCCTCTCTGCATTCTTTCCTTCCTTCCTTCCTCCCTCCCTTCCTCCATCTTTTCCCTCCTCCCTCCCTCCCTCTTTCTTTCTTTCTTTCTTTCTTTCTTTCTTTCTTTCTTTCTTTCT